CTCTGAATAAAATCGTATTCTACTACTACTACTACTTATACTACTATTACTACCGCGGTGGCTCAGTGAGTAAGACGTTGGCGCGCTAATGCGTTTGCTCCCGATGTTGGCCGAGAAAGCTTCCCCTTGTCAGTTGTGCAGAACGGAGGGTCTAGCAAGGAACGTTCAGATAGGACGAAAAACCGAGGTCCCTTGTACACATTAGCGTGCCCGTAAAATAACCCTCGAGTTGAATTTCAATGTAATTTCCTTTACAACGCACTGTATGACCGTCTTCATTAGCCCAGTCCAACCTCGTGGGTTTTCTCCGGGTCCTCCGGTTTCCTCCCACTGCTAAAGACCCCTACGCGCAAGCGAATTATTGAAATAAAATTAAACCATATGTTAGTCCCGAAATGACCTAGTTTGTGTCGAGTGGACGTTAAACCCATCTCTCTCTCTCTCTCTCTCTCTCTCGGAGCAGAACAGTAGGACGTTAAACGCCATTTTATTTCATTTACAACTACTACACATAGTCGACATAGAGTAATCCATTCCATACGTTTGTTTTTCAGGGAAAATGAGAGAGAGAAACGAGGTTTAACGTCCACTCGACACACAAACTAGGTCATTTCGGGACTAACATATGGTTAGATTTATGCGTGCGGTAGGGTTCTTTAGCAGTGGGAGGAAACCGGACGACCCGGAGAAAACCCCGACGCTGGACACGCGATTCCACTCCTTGTCACGTACAACCGGGATTTTTTCCTCCCTCTCTCTCTCTCTCTCTCTCTCTCTCTCTCTCTCTCTTTCTGTTATTATAAAGAAGGACTAATATACAATTCTCTGGTGTAACGATTAGCAAACGTCACCATGTTTCGTACTGTCAACAATAAATCAGTTGAACTAAGCGAAGAACAATGTATATCTGGTATGACCACCTTTCACTAGTAACATCAAGAACATTGTCGGATATTAACTATCAGCCTAGACATCTTACATAACACTCAAAGGATCAATACCACTCTTGTTGTAACTGAATAATATGTCCCAATCTTTATTCTGGTCAACAAATTGTACTATTTTACAATATTCCAATTAATTGATGATACAAATTTCACACCTAATTTAAAAAATTGGAAAAATTCAACTGACGTAAAGCTTTTCAAATGTGACTTGGATTTAAAAATATTTTTGAACCCTCTGGACAAATAAAATAGGATTTAATGGATAATTTACGCAACAGGTAGGACACTAACACATCTAGTACTTAAAATAAGGCTATTTTTTATTTTCTGGAGCTGTCAAGCCAGCAAGTGTGTTATTGTTCTCTTAATCCTCGTCGAGTATAATTAGGGTGTCTGGACGGAAATAAAATGGGGTTTAAAGTCATTCATTTCTGCACCAACTGGTCTAATGAATGTGAAAGACTAGGCGCCATTCCCGATTTCATCGAATTCCAACTGCCAGGGCTAGTATTTACGTGCACGCCAACGTGTACACGGGACCTAGCTTTTTTCGTCTCATGTGAAAGACTAGGCGCCATTCCCTTCCTTATCATGCCCTCCGTGAAGTACCACGGGAATGTCTCTGCCAGTACCGCGGTAGACCCACTGACTTTCTGATCAGTGACTCCCAATTAGGTTGTATGTTCGACAAAACGCAGTGATAATCTTAGTTCTGCTTTTATTGGGCAGAAAGAGAGTATCATAAGGCCTGTCATTGAGTCAACTGGCGTGGTTTCGAATCCCCCCGTGGGCTTTCTCCGGGTCCCCCGGGTTCCTCCCGCTGCTATAGACCCCTACGCGCAAGAGAATTATTGAAATAAAATTAAACGATATGTTAGTCCCGAAATCACCTAGTTTGTGTCGAGTGGACGTTATTCCCCCCTCTCTCTCTCTCTCTCTCTCTCTCTCTAATTACTGAAAGAATAAATCGTCGAAAGCAAAACCAGAGTTGTCAAACTCTAAACGAGGAGCTCACCTTCATTATAATTGGTGGAGAAACGCAAGACGTTAAGTCGCATTTCATTTCTTAGTTGTTCGGATAGGCCGAAAAACTGAGATTCCGCATACACATTGACATGCACATAAAAGAACCATTGACAGTTGGAATTCGATATAAGAGTAGACCGTAGTGCCACTGTCCGGGCAAAATACCCCTCATAGCACAATGTATGGCGTATACCCGTCTTCATTAGCCCAGTGGGAGCTGAAAAGTAGGACGTTACACCCCATTTCATTTCATTAGTAAACAAAAAGAGACACATATGTTCTGTAATATCTTCATTTTGAAATGAAATAAAATAGATAATTTGATTTAATATAATCTGAAAAAGAAGAAAAGTAATCAAAGAAGTGTTAGAGATTTAGTTCCCTCCGGTATAACTTGACATTTTATGACTTCCAATCTGTCTCCAGACAGTGTCGTGTTTTTACAGTCCTGTCAATATTTACTGAAAGGGGAAGTCGGCTATGATATATGTGTCCAAAAACCAAGTCTTCTTCTTGGTTAAATTAACAATTACTCCTCAATAAAGATGGAGAGAGAGAGAGAGAGAGAGAGAGAAGGAGAGAGAATTTAATCAATGTAGCGTTATTGTTAAGAGCTTTAACTTAGAAACAATTGATAATCGTTCCTGGCATCAATAATTACAAAGGAGAGAGAAAGAGAGAGAGAGATAGAGAGAGAGAGAGTTTAACGTCCACTCGACACAAACTAGTAAGTCATTTCGGGATTAACATATGGTTCAATTTTATTTAAACAATTCGCTTGCGCACAGGGATCTTTATCAGTTGTGGGCAACCAGAGGACCCACAGAAAACCCAAGACACATTATTTATATTACATATTATTTAGATACGCAAACTTTAAGGACAGCAGAAGTAGGAATCAGAATGTGAGGCTGAATGACAGTCACACCGGCATCAGGGATCGTTTGATTACAGTTTTAAGCTGGTAAAAATGGATAATGTTCCTTATCGAGCGCTTGCAATAGTCTGGAATATGGCTCTACATTTGCTAAGTCTACAGGCGTAATTGTTGGGAAAGTGGCGTTAAATGATCTAAAAAAAGATATAACCAGCCTCGCATAATAGATAATTATACCTTCACAAAACGCTGAACAAACAGTTCACCAAAAATACAGCGCAATCTAAGTTGTCAACATGAATGGTGATGTTTGCTATAGGTGAACCCACTACAACACATCTGGCCCCGAGTTCACAAAGCATTTTCAGACTTAAGTTAAGGATGTACTCAACTTTCAATCACTGTTTATGAGAAATATCTTTGATCCAGAAAATGTGCACATATAGTTTCTTATTGATGGATTTGATACATTAAAACAACAACAGTTTTATAAAGGGATATATTTTAGTTCACAATTTTGAGTAAATTCTTAACTTATATCAAGCTCTGCTTTCACAAAGCATTCCCAGACTTATCTTAAGAATTTACCCAACTTTCAATCACTGTTTATGAGAAATATCCTTGATCCGGAAAATGTGCACATATAGTTTCTTATTGATGTATTTGATACATTAAAACAACAACAGTTTTATAAAGGGATATATTTTAGTTCACAATTTTGAGTAAATTCTTAACTTAAATCAAGCTCTGCTTTCACAAAGCATTCCCAGACTTATCTTAAGAATTTACCCAACTTTCAATCACTGTTTATGAGAAATATCCTTGATGTATTTGATACATTAAAACAGCAAAAGCTTTATAAAGGACTATAGTTTAGTTAAAATAAGGCGAACAGATTTGAGTAAATTTTTAACTTAATTCTGAGAATGTTTTGTGAAACCCGGGCCTGAGCCTATATTGACAATGACGTTAGGTGTTTGGCGAAAGAGTAGGCATTATACTCTATATTTCATGATATCATCACAACTTACACAAGAAGGAAATTATGCCCAGGCAGCGACATTACGGGATATTTCTATTTCGACTGACAACTGCAAGAGAATCGTCAACGTGCGTCAATTTTACACAAGTGATATCGACTGACAACATTCAGAAGCCAAAACTGGTCAAAGTGTATTCAAGCAGAAATGTCCCAAATCAATTCAAGAATGCTTTGTGACACTTGTGTGTAACATAAATGAAATGGGGTTTAATGTCCTATTATTCTGATCCCTGCATTGGCCTGACAAGGACAGCTGTCTAGTCGTTCGGATGGGTTGAAAAACCGAGGTCCCGTGTACATATTGGCGTTGGAATTCGATATAAGAGTAGGCCGTAGCGCCGCTGCCCGGGCAAAATTTCCCTCATAGCACACTGTATGGCGTATTCCCGTCTTCATTAGCCCAGTTTAGGAGCAGAACAGTAGGACGTTAAACCCCATTTCATTTCATTTCATTTGCTATTATTCTGCACCGAACTGGGATTATGAAGACGGGCAAGCGCCATACACTGTGCTATGATAGAAATTGTGCCCGGACAGCGGCACTGCGATCTACTCTTATTTCGAATTTAAACTGTCAAGGTCTTTGTTACGTGCACGCCAAGGTACCGTGTGAACGGGGTCTCGGTTTTGCACCCAAACCGAACGACTGTACGTTGCACCACTAACAAGGGGTAATCACGCCGGAAAATCGCGATGAACTTTCTCAGCCAAGACCGGGATCGAACACGGGACCTCTGGTTTAACGTCTTATTCACTGAGCCACTGCAGCCACCTACCTGTGTATAAAAACCCCAATAAAATATACGCATATTCAAAATATTATTTGGGGGGTTGGATGGCCGAATGGTTAGCACGTGCGCGCTGTATCATAAGGCCTGTCATTGAATTCCCGGTTGTACGTGACAAGGAGTAGGGTCGCCTGTCCAACCTCGTGGGTTTTCTCCGGGTTCTCCGGTTTCCCCCCACTGCTAAAGACCCCTACGCGCAAGCGAATTATTGAAATAAAATTAAACAATATATTAGTCCCGAAATGACCTAGTTTGTGTCGAGTGGACGTTAAACCCCATTTCTCTCTCTCAAAATGTTATTGTTTATATTAAAATCTTACCAGCATCAGCCATCATCACGATGTAAAAAGTAAGTACGAAACTAAAACTTGAATCCATCGAGAATCTCATTCTGTTCACATTTACAACCAGTACGATGCTTTATATTCCATAAACACTCGACTTCCAAAGAAATATGTCTATCTTATTCCACTCTCTCTTTAAAATTATGTTGTTTTCGCTTCTGCTTGCATTCGGCATATATCGTCGTTCTTTGGACCTGAGACATCAAGCGGCGTCCGCTTCCTGTAAATAATCGATCTGATTAGTTCCATTTAACCTCGTTTATCCAGACATAAGACATATTGAAAGTTGGAGCTAGGGTAGGGATGGCAGGTCACCAAGACATAAAAGATTAATTGAAGCAGTAGTGAGCTGTTGTTTCTTTGAACGTGTTTGTCTTAAGGGGGTTGGATGGCCGAATGGTTAGCGGGTGCGCGTTGTGTCCCAAGGTCTGCCATTGAGTCAACTGGCGTGGTTTCGATGCCCTGGTTGTACATGACAAGGAGTAGGGTCGCCTGTCCAAACTCGTGTGTTTTCTCCGGGTCCTCTGTTTTCCTGCCACTACTATAGAACCTTACGCGCAAGCGAATTGATTTAAATAAAATTGAACCATGTGTTAGTCCCGAAATGAGCTAGTTTGTGTCGAGCGGACGTTAAACCCCATTTCTCTCTCTTTCTCTTAATTTGCCAAATGGAAAATGTATTAGTGGCGAAATGTCGTATTTGATATTTTGCGAGACGAAGGGGGTGGGGGTAGTGACATTATTTTGAGAACTTACACTAAATATACATTATACAATAGCTATATCTGCCTATTGCAGGTCTTTCTTTAGTCCTGAAATATTATCTAAATTATTAATTAGACATTAATTAACTTATCCAGACCATAATCAACCATCGATGGCATCGTTAGCCTACGATGTTTATTGGATTAGGTTCCGATTTGCTGTTCGACTTACATTCATAATTTAATCATGAAATGGATAATCGAGACTATCATACTGACTTTAGCAATGATGATCGAGGCTAGTCCGAAAATTCAATCACTAAAATCCCGGTTCAGAGTGGACCAATTTGACTGAAATATTCAGCAAATTCCCTTTACATTATCTAGTTTTTAACTATTATAGTAGGAACCGCCAGCTTATCTAATCTCCCATAATATATCTTTAAACGTATGACTTTCTAATTTTCATTAAACATACACTATGCAAGAGCTAAATCTGCCTATTGCAGGTCTTTCTTTAGGCCTGAAATGTTATATAAACTATTAATTAGACGTTTATTAACAAAACAAGACCATAATCGACTCTCGATGGCATCGGATACTCGGAATTTTAACTAGATTAAAACCGTTCGCCATTTAAAAATTTAATTTAAAAATGGGAAAGCGAGGCTAAGTCCCGATTATACCAGTGCCCTGGTTACCACTGTGCACACATCTTGTCAAAACTACAAACAATGATAACTTGGCTGAGAATGAAGTAATTTGACTGAAATTTTCAATATTTTCTTTTTTCATCATCTATTTTTGAATCATTATAGCAAGAATGGCCAACTCTTTATTAAACTCTTAACTAATGTATCTTTAAAGAATGCCCTTGCTTTCATGTGATAAGAAGTAGTATTTAATCTCTAATCTGTGAAGTTTCTCCGAGTTCTCAGATTTCATCACAATTATAAAGCAGTTGCGCGCAAATTAATTATTAAAATTATACAACCCTTTCTTGGTATGCCCTTGAAAGACCTATCGGTTTGTGTTGAGTGAGCTCGAAATCCCCGTTTCCTTTATATTTATTTCCTTTGGACTATCTTCTAGGAATGCATAGGGGATTTGGATGGCTGAATAGTTAGCGTGCGCGCGCTGTATCATAAAGTCTGTCATTGAGTCGACTGGCGTGGTTTCGAATCCCCGGTTGTACGTGACAAACCTCGTGGGTTGTCACCCACAAGATATTGTTTCCGGTACACATTGTGGAGAAACATCGTTATATCCAATAACGATGTATCGTGGACGGAAATCAGGATATCAAAGGTCATCGGGGTCATCATTATCAGACAAAACAATGAAAGGCATATTCCGGTGACCTCTAATATTCCTGCAGTGTCCTCCCACTGCTCAACATCCCTATGCGCAAGCGAATTATTGAAATAAAATTAAACCATACGTTAGTCCCGAAATGACCTAGTTTGTGTCGAGTGGACGTTAAACCTCATTTCTCTCTCTCTCTCTCTCTCTCTCGCTCTCTCTCTCTCTCTCTCTCTCTCTCTCCACTGAGATTGCTCCCCCCCCGGCCCATGCCAATGGTCTAAGACACTGGCTGGCTAACCAGGCATTTTCGGGTTCGCCCCCTGTGTTGACCGAGAAAGCTCATAGGGATCTTCCGACGCGGTTCCCTTTGTCGGAGGGCCTGACAGGGACAGCGTCCAGTCGTTCAGATGGGACGAAAGGTCCCGTGTATACATTGGCGTGCACGTAAAATACTCATTGACAGAATTCTAAATAATAGTAGGCCAAAGCGCCGCTGTCTGGGCAAACGTTCCCCCATAGCACACTGTATGACGTAATTAAGCTCGTTTTTATTAGCTCAGTCGGTGCAGAAAAGTAGGACTCTAAACCTTATTTCATATCAATCTGTTTATTTTGGTTGAATGTGCAAAACCTTTTCATTTCTTTCCTGCTACCTTGAGATTTTTAAAATTATTATTCTATACACTGGGTTCTGCTTTTTTCCAATACAAAAAAATACAAGACCCACTTTCCATGACATCACGGTACAGGCTACACGTGACAAGTGCGGAAGTACTTTCATAAACACCTGTCACTATCTGAGTAAAATGCCATACACTTGCACATCACATATCGTTAAACAATAGTTTCTTCGGAGCATTAATTAAATTAGGTCATAATATATTGTTGAGGTAATCTGATATATATGAAAAGCGCTCCGTAAGTTGGGGGTTGGATGGCCGAATGGTTAGCGCGTGTGCGCTGTATCATAAGGTCTGTCATTGAGTCAACTGGGGTGGTTTCTTCCGATTTCCCGGTTGTACGTGACAAGGTGTAGGGTCGTCCATTTAACCTCGTGGGTTTTCTCCGGGTTCCTCGGTTTACTCCCTCTGCTAAAGACCCCTACGTGCAAGCGAATTTTGAAATAGAATTGAACCATCTGTTAGTCCCAAAATGACCTAGTTTGTGTCGAGAGGACGTTAAATATCTCTCTCTCTCTCTCTCTCTCTCTCTCTCTCTCTCTCGCTCCATAAGTTAAAGTTTGTTTCATTTTTGACAATGAATAAAATGTTTTAGTACTCACTCATCCCCCCGCCCCGCCCCGCCCTCTCCTCTGCTGGCTAATTCCGCTTACTTACAATTACACAAAAACCATGGTGTTTTGTGACTAGTAAATGAGCTAAATGGCAGGATATTGGGTATAAATGTGATTTATTGAGTGATTAACCCAAATAAACAACTAAATTAAAATATGCAATGATTCAGCCTAATGTACATTATGGAAAAGATATTGTTTCCGGTAAACATTGTGGAGAAACATCGTTATATCCAATAACGATGTATCGTGGACGGAAATCAGGATATCAAAGGTCATCGGGGTCATCATTATCAGACAAAACAATGAAAGGCATATTCCGGTGACCTCTAATATTCCTGCTATGATAATTCCAAATTGTTTTTCTAATTTATGTATATCATTAGTCCGCATGCTGTTCTTATCAAATACGTGAATTACTTTATTCATTTGTTTCCGGCGTGGTTTCCCAGACAAGGACAGCTGTCTAGTCGTTCGGATGGGACGGAAAACCGAGGTCGCATGTGGCGTGTATACATTGGCATGCACGTAAAAGATCCCTTGGCAGTTGGAATTCGATATAAGAGTAGGCTAAAGTGTCGCTGCCTGGGCAAAATTTCCATCATAGCACATTGTATGACGTAAGCCCGTCTTCATTAGCCCAGTCGGACTAGAACAGTAGGACGTTAAACCCCTTTTCATTTCATTTATTCATTTGCTAATTGGGACTTTTGTATTTATTCGATGCATTATTCCACAGGTGCAGTACAGGGGACCTTGGAGGAAACAGCTTCTAGTCCTTCGAATGGGACAAAAAATGAAGTTCGCCTTCGCTCTGTATAGGTTTCGTGGCTTCGCCGTCCGGTTATAGACTTAGGTAGATGAGTGGGCACCAAATTTCGCTTCGCCACGGTGCAGCTTCGCTATGAAGAAAAGAACTGAACAATGCGAAACTAAGACGTGACTCGGGGGATACGGGAGGTGATGGGGTAATAAATTCCTTCTTTAGAAGTGGGAGGGGGGGGTGGATTGTTGAATGGTTAGCGTGTGCGCGTTGTATTATAAAGTCTGTCATTGAGTCGACTGGCGTGGTTTCGAATCGCCGGTAGTACGTGGCAAGGAGTAGGGTCGCCTGTCCAACCTCGTGGGTTTTCTCCGGGTCCTCCGGTTTCCTCCCACTGCTAAAGACCCCTACGCGCAAGCGAATTATGTAAATAAAATTAAACCATATGTTAGTCCCGAAATAACCTAGTTTGTGTCGAGTGGACGTTAAACCCCATTTCTCTCTCTCTCTAGAAGTGGGAGGGAGCAAGAGCACCGAAAGAATCCGATCAGGTTCGGCACACGACCATGCGTCTGGTCGCGTACCCCCCCCCCTCTCCGTCCCCAGCCCCAGCCCTAGGTCTACCTGAAATCTATGTATCTGTTGTATATATGTTCGATAATGAAGGGATTTGTATTTAATTAAGCATTAGAAGCCATTTTTTGTAACGATCATTGGTAGCCTGATTCGTAACACACAACAGTTGAATGTCCCGCGGCACGTGACATTTGACATTAATAATTACAACAGAAATAGACACAACTGTTGGTTACAAAAAGGTAAGCGAGCGGAAATGGAGATCTAAATAATTCAAATATTAGCATCATACTGGTGAACTTGTTTCTTGTACAAGATAAAATCAATAATCGATTCTCTATATTAGGATGAAGTCGAGTGTTGGCTGTTTAACATTTTGTTGCACAGAGACCAGAGAATTGTATGCAATAATTACAGTTTCCTGTATCATATGTTTCAATACGACATTAGATTCAAGTGTAGAGTGTACCGGATTCCAATAATACATTAGACTCAATAAACTAGTATGTATACCGGT